GGCCAAATGCCCCCCCCCAATGATTTTTGCCCCAACCCCCATTTTGCCCCCCCCCCCACTCAAAAAAAGTATTAGTCACTGAAAGCGACTAAAGGCTACACAAGCGTTTTATCGTTATCGGAAAATGTATGGCTTATAAGTTGTCATTACTCATTAGTGAATGCGCGTATACATGAAACTGTCTTTTACAGTTTCAATATTAGTTTGTAAATCTCTGAATGGTAAAACTTGCCAATACTCCAATAATACGTTTCAAAAAAGACAAAAAAGCTTTAGTTAAATTCTCAAACGTGTAAAGGCCCACACAGACCGGACGCGATTCGGCAACTCGACGAGAATTTTCAGTTTTCAAAAACAAACAAAACCATCAACGATAAAAATTTTACAAGGTATGCAGACCAAAATAATAAAATTGCTAAGTGGTCCCGAATATTTGAAAAACAATGAGGTTAATGTCATTGAAAACTGAAAATTCGCGTCGCGTTGCCAAATAGCGTCCGGTCTGTATGGGCCTTAAGGCACTAATAAGATGAAAGTATCACGAAATTATTTGAATAAACCACATCGCATATGTGGGGGGGGGGCGAATATCCTAAAGGGAGGGGGCGATATTCCTGGGGCATTCGCCCTCTCTGGGGGTGGCGATATTCCTAGGATATTCGTCCCCCGGGGCGGTATTCCTGGGAATATCGCCCCCTTTTGAGAGGGGGGATAATTTCCTGGGGGGGACAAAAGTCCTGTGACAACGGCAATTGGGCAAAAATCCATCTTCCCCCCCCCAAAAAAAAATATGAGTTTGCCCCTCAAATGCCCCCCCCCCCCAAATTCTGAGGCCTGGCGCCGCCGCAAATTTTTTTTCCGTAGACAGTCGGACTCCTCATTCATAGTCGGACGCATCATTGATCCGCGCCCTTAAACAAAATATTCAGCGGATACTCTTCGTATTAGATGCGCCTTCCCAGTGTGTCTCGCGCACGCAATTGGTGATTTCAAAATCCGGATTGTATCGCTTGGTTGAGATGCCAAAATCTGAGGACACATTGTAGCTTCATATCTTGTGTGGTGATGACATCTATAACATATTTTGTTAAGTTGTATTCGACATTCCCACTTGCTTTTCGGAGCGATTGCAGAACACCGTCCACTTTTTAAGCTATGCTTTTCAAACATCATGGATACGATTAATTAATACATATATATATTTATTCTCAATAGATGAATAATAAATAGATTGATAGATTAAAATCCCATGGTGGTAAAGGTAGCTACGAGGCATACAGTGGCTTAAGAATTAATAGACTAAATTGTCATAGTGTTAAGGTAGCTCTATATTCTGGTGGATACGCGGATATGCAGTCAAATTTTTTTGTCAAGTTATTTTGAGGACGAGGCATACAGTTTGATTAGCATTATAGATCAAATTCGTGGATTAGTTAGCATTAATAGATTAAATTATCATGCTATAGAGAGCTTAAATGTGGTGTAATATGTAAATATGTTCCTCACAACCGGACATTGGTGTTTGACAGATTATGATTAATTAGCGTCGCTGTGAGAAAAAAATTATATTATAAAGCATACTAAGCATAATATTAAATATGAGAAATCTTGCATGATATTTCGTGAATAGTATCAATTCGTAATATTGTCTTAGTAATTATATTAGTTTGTGTATATTAGAACGAGGCAATAAGATCTGGTATATACGTATCCAGTGATATTACTAGTGGACGGATATTCGGCAATACTTCTATTTGTGGAAAGTGGTCTTTATGGTCGCTTGAATCTGAATTAAATTCGACGTATGAAACAGGCCTAATTCTCTCAATTGGGATGCTGTATAGTTTTAACTCGCAATAGCAGTTCTTGAGTATTTTCGGTACCAGAAAAACAAGTAGTTCGTAGATTCATTATGGCATTGCGAAGCAAATTGTTCATCTTTCTACATGTGGTCGAAGACGAACAACGTGGAGCGATGGATATATGGTGCACCAGTGGGTTACGCACGGTACGAAGGGATCCATCGATAACGCGCAGAGGCCTGGACGCGGATCAATGATGCGTCCGACTATCAATGAGGAGTCCGACTGTCTACGGAAAAAAAATTTGCGGCGCCGCCACTGCCCATTCATCGTACAGCAAATCAACTGAACTTATTACTCGCTGGGGCACCTGTGCCCTGGCGAGTATGGGTTTCGGCTCGCATTTTTCTTCGATAGAGGACCGAAGATCGATAGCCACAAAAATAGAATATTAATGAGCTGCCTATAATAAAACCCAATTTATACTTTTCAAAATGGCGGCCTTTCGTGAGTGTGCAAAATGTTTCAAACAATTTCGTTAAAATTTTCAACGAATTGTACCTGTTTTCTATGGATTTTCCATTGTGTCTAACTCTGGACATTCTCATAGTTTGGTTAATGTATTTTTCTTGGTGCACGACTCTAAAAATCCGAAATTTGGTTCCAGTTGAATTCCCGTGCACGATCATAATAATAATTATACCGAGCCAAAGACAATTTCAAGGTATTAAAAAGGTAATAACTTAAACTACACAGTGTAGTTTTAATAGATAACGTACTACTTTATGAGAAGCATGTTGGTGTCATAGCAATATAAAATTTATCCAACAACAATCCCGAATCGATTAGCTGTGAAAACGTGAAAACTGTAGTGTGAAATATGTATTTGTTATGCCTAATGGCGCAATAAGGATAAAAATACCACCGTTCGATTCAGCGTAAGAAATTGTACTTACGGATGTCAAATGTATTACAAAACAACAGTATATTCTAGCGATTTATGGCCTTTCAAAATCAAGCGTAATTGTATTGTTGATAAATCACTCGCAGTACGTATATTGTTGACAAATCACTCGCAGTACGTTTGTCCTTGTATTTGTAATGCCTAATGCCGCAATAAGGATACAAATACCACCGTTCGATTCAGCGTAAGAAATTGTACTTACGGAAAAACCCAGCCTAGACCTAGGCCTTCTATTTTTATTTATATTTACTGTAATGGTTTATAAATGTGTTAATGGTATGGTCCCATCATATTTATGTCGTATGCTTCAAACATTAAACAGTCAAGATCTTAATTACATAGTTTGAACACAAGATCTAAAGGATATTGAATTGGAAATACCTTTATAATTATAGGACAGCGACCAGACAACCTTCTTTTCGCTACCGAGCTGCTTGTTTATGGAACAATTTGCCAGAATGGTTAAAAAACCATAATTTCAATTTGGAACCTTTTAAAAATGAGTAATTAAATTTTAAATTAAATTGTATTAAAAATAAGTATTTTACCCTAGCTAGATTATTATAAATAGCTTGACATTATATAAATAGTATATACATAGTTTCTAGAATATAATTTAAGTATTTAGTACTTTTTATAACGTTTGTATTGAACACTGAAACTGACCCTTTTGGGAGTGTTTAACATTTGATCCTTGATAATTTTGGTATCGTTGGTTTTCTCTTTTTCGGCCGTATACCAGTGGATTCGTCTCATTTCTCTCTTCATTTTGATAGTATTTTGAGCCCCCCCCCCCCCAATATTTTATTTTGAACGTTTTAAAGCGCAGTTTAATCCTAGCGTGCGGAGTCTAGTACTAGACGGACCAAGCGGCGGCCGACAGAAGAATGTAGCGTACTAAATATAACCATGATATAATTTTACCTGTATAGTACTGTGTCTGGTTGTATAAAACCTGAACTGGGGTCATTATACTAACAGAAACTTCTCCTATACCTGCAATTACAAACCTGGTGAATTTGAGAGCGGCAGCACTCTCCCCTTGACAAGCAAAATCGACTGATATGACCGTATGCGACATTAAAATAATAAAGTAGGGACAATGTAGGGTGCATTGCCATTGGGGAACAATGCAAGTCAGTGGGATAATAACATGATATTTACCTAAATAAACAGAGCACTGTTATACGACTTTTCCTCATAGCTCGGGGACAACCTTAAATCTTAATTGAAATAGCTGTGTACTGTATGTATCATGTACAGTATTGTGGGTATTTGTATAGTCCCAGCGAGTTAACGCTCTATAGAGCGTCTTGTATTGTTTAAAACTTCATATGAAACACGCTTCCTCACACGAGTTTTATCAGCACGCACCACCATGTTGTTTTAGAATCCTATTATCACA